CTGTTTGTCATGTGACTGCAGTGGAGGATTGTGGGTAGGATTCATGTTTGTTGTTGTTAAAACATTTTAGGGAATTGGTTAACATYRTTCTTTCAGCAATTAGTCTGTTGTGTTACTCTAATTTGTGTGTTCATTATTTGTTAACTTGTGTTAAAGCGTTCAGCAGAAGTAACCATAAGTAAGAGTGGTAGGCCTGGTCATTAATAAGACCTGTGAGTTTCACTTTGTCTGTGTTGTTCATGAAGAAGAATCCAATAAAGKTTCTTCAAAACTRCMACCTGGTGGTGAAGTCTTGAACTACAACAAGAGCTACACCTCTCTCTGTAGCTGTGAGGTGTCATGCTACAATACAGTATTGTGCTTAATGCATGTGCACTGTTATAAAGAACTTGTAAGATTTATTTGAAATAGTCCTTGTAACAATTTGCACTAATGATTAAGTAAATTTAAATGCTCAAGTAAATGATCAAGTTTATGGTACAAGATTTAATTAAGTTAAATTTACGTGATTTATTCATAAATCTTAAACTCTATTCTTAACTTTTACTAGATGATGATGAGTAAATATTACATGAATTTGTAGCATTTAAATTTACTAAACAAACATTAGTGCAAATTGTTATGAGGATTTTTTTCAAGTACATCTTACAAGTTATTATTTTCAGTGCGATTATGTCACAGCAATGCCATGAAGGCTGTCCAAATTTGAAGGCTCCTCCAAGTGCGACCCACAAATATGTCCTGCTTCTCGTCCGATTTGAGGGACGGCTCCGGTGTGTCCTTCTTAGGCCACTGAGCTTTGACACAGCAAGACTGAAAAAAACAGTCTTCACTCCTTCTAAATGCTCGAATCTCTCAATCAATATTGACTCGTCTGATCCGTCCACCCTTCACGTTAAGTGTTTATGTGTCAAACTTACTCTTGAGAAACACGTCAATAATCTGACTCGTTTTACTTGCTTTCATTTGTACTTTATTGCCCACCTCCATCTATCTCTGACAGCCAGCTACACATTGTCCACGTCCTCGCAGCGCCGCACATTGATCACCACGGCTCTTTGGTTTAAGCCACAAATCCATCAAATCGCTTCAATTCTGACCCTCATTGTCACCGAGAACAACGCGCCATCCAGTTTGGATGGAAAAATCAACTTCGAGAATCAAAAAGAAATCCATTCGCCTTACTTTGATTTTGTTAGGATTCTTCACCAGAATAAAGACATTTGTATTAAAAACATCAGACRGTGAGACAAAATGACTCAGCAGCACTTGGAGCAACTAATGTTTGTTTATTCAGTCTGAACAAATAATAATTCATCAACTGGGATTAATTTGATTCTCTGTTAATCCATCTGTGGTATTAGTTTTACTGGGAATGACACCAGATTCCAGAACTAACACTGGTGATGTACCAACCGCGTTTTAGTGGATTCAGACCGTGTTGTGATTGGATGTTTGTTTTTCATTTCTGGCTAAGCATCTCTGATTTGTTTATTTTTGATTGCTGTGTCAGATTGCACTGCTTTTTTCTTTCTTTCTTTTTTGTTGTTGTATTTTTGCCATTCCTGCTTGTTTGCAAATTCTGCACAAATAAGAATGGGGACAACGCGAAACACAATTTCTTAGAGTTATTCTCTTTTACTATAACCACCGACTGTTCCATTTGACTGTGTGTGAGTGGGAAGGAGAAGCCCATAAAACAGCAACAACAAATCCCAAAACAAAGACAAACACAACGGTGTTTTTTATTTTTATTTTTTTTTTGTCTAATTTGAAACCATTCATATCTAGTGATGTGTTCTTGGGTTGATATCCATGTTGCTTGTGTCTGTTTTTGTTCCAGTGCTCCTGTATGTGTAGGAGTAAGCATCCAAATGCATGTTTCCATAATTGCTCTATAAATCACTCAAAAAAAGTGACACCAGTTGGAAAATCAGAAGACGTTTGCAGCAAGAAGGAGAAATGCGTATTCACAACAATCTGTTCCAGTAAAATAAAATGCAGTTTCCACATTGTGTGAAAAGAAAGGCTAATAGGATTTTCCATCATATATATGCTGTATAAAATGTATTTTCAAAGTTAGTGCATAAATATCTTGGTAATGGTCCACAGCTTGCTTTGTAAAGGAAAGACATTATACAGCATCAATCTGATGGTAAAGTCTTGGAAAACAAGCTGTTGAAACAATCTCAGAGTTTTGCCACAAATTTAGCAATTTTTGGATGATAAATTAAGTTTCAACTCAAGCCCTCAGTAAGATGACTAGAAAACCCTTATTTTAGCATAAATTGTTCGGTGGATAAAATGTGGACAAGTCCACTAAGCTGCATCTAGTTTTAGAAACAAATATTTACTGTATTTGTATTTATGCAGAATTACATCTGTTTGCAACCAGTTTTAATTACTGTCAGTGAACTAAAAGTGGGTGATTAATGATTTCGCTTCTGTCTGTGTGTTTGTGTCGGTCTGTTACCAAAATACCTCAAGAATCACTGGTCAAATTTTATTTAAGCTCACAACAAAAGTAATTATTGGATGCTCATCTACACTAATTAGCTGCTAAAAGCAACCTGATTCAAAAAGGAGGCCACAATTCAACACAAAATTTACATTAACTCTGTCAATTTTACAGATAACGTCCTAAAATTTGATGAGGTAGCAAAGATTGTTCTCCATCTCATTTTCTGAGCACAAAATCTGTGTTTGAAAAGTTGTCATTAATTATTGGAGCCARCTCTGTCYGTGTGTTAGCAAAATATTTCATAAACCACTGGTTGGATCTTAATGAGACTGATTGTACCAATCACCCAATTCAAGATGGTCGCCACAACTTATCAACRCAAAAACRGTGATATTTCAGGGATTTGTTCGGATTTGGAGCTAAAATTTACTATGGYAGTAGCTGGGAGTGTTTCACAACACACTGTGTGACTCTCACAATAATGCATGAGATYGTGTATAATAAAATGTTCAAGGTTTCACTAAAATCSCYATAACTMCATCATTTCTCAACACAAGATGATCTTAGTATAAAACTATGGCTTGAAAGGTTGATGAGCAAGAAATGCTTGACCTTTMATTGATTACAATAATATTTTGTCAGTTTTGTCAAGAAGAGAATGTGTGAGACAAATAATCATGATCAACTCTTTTACTCTTTCACATCTTTCACTATTATCTTCTGCTTCTCTTTCCTCCGTTTATTTGCTTCATCTCTTCCTCTATCTCCTTCCTGGCCACGTCTGCCTCTGTGTCTCCATCTGTTGTGTGTTACACCGTGCCACCGCATGTATTTAAGGGTGTCAGGGATGTAAATAGTCTCGACACAGTACTGTAGTGGGTTTAAGGATGTTTTTTTTTTTTTGTTGGGGGGGGGGGGGGCAATCTGCTGAGGGTAGCAAGGACGTGGCTTTTCAAAAGAACAAGAAGAGACAAAGACGCCGACATCAGGTGGGAAAGTGGTGACAGCATCATAAATCAGGAACACGTCCTCGCAGCCACACACTAAAGATGTAAATGTGCCAATTTTTCTGCATTAACTGCAAAGTCATTACACTGAGGTTTCTCGTTTACAGAATAAGACACTCAAAAAGAGCACACTATATGTGACATACATGTGATAAATCCCTGCATCTTTTGCACGATTAAAGTCCTTGTCGTCTTTGAGTTTGCCCTCCTGAAGGAAGTTTTGCTGATGGACGCCTGCATTGATCTGTGTGTGCCCCTGCAGTTTGACATGCAGCAGCTGTCTCTGGATGAGCTCAAGCAGGTGCTGTTCCACGCCTTCAGGGACCACCTGACAATGAAGGACATCGAGAACATCATCATCACCGAGGAGGAGAGCCTCAACGAAACCTCAGGGAACTGCCCTGAGTATGAAGGAGGTGAGGAAGCCGTTCGCACTCAAACTTTCCTCCTCGTACTGTTAATATGGATACTTGATTGGTTTTTATGTAAAATCAGCACGAAAATTAAGAAAATTTGTGTTTGGCAGATTTTTTTTTTCTTCTTGGTAATAAATTTTATAGCGAAGATCAAATCAAGTGTCTTTAACAACAGCAAAATAAACAGTTTGTTTAAAAAAAATTTTGATAATTTTCCATGTGCACAACCCACATACTCAGCTCTACTGCTCATCCCACAGACGCATGTTCCTTACAAATGTGACACCATTTTAAAGGGACATTGACAGGCTTTTCATATAAGATTTATAAAAGAAACAATCTACCAAACAACATTTTCCTTGCATTTTGTGCTAAGTATACACAGCGGGTAAAATAAGTATTGAACACGTCACCATTTTTCTCAGTAAATATATTACTAGAGGTG